ATGATTAAGTGACCCGAGTCCACCAGTTCCTATGAGGGGAGCAATAGATCTAGGATCCCCAAAAACAGAGAAATGAATAAATTCAAGTGACATGCAAAAATTAAATGTCCCCTTTTATTCTCAGAAGTCTGTTTCATCAAATTGGGGAGGGGATTCTTTGCGTTTTTACTGCACTTTTAAACTCATTTAGAACTCAAATAACATGGGCAAAGACTTCACCACCCCCCAAAAAAACAGCAAGGTGGGAACTCGCCCAAACAAAGCAAAAACATTTTTCAACAAATACTGAATTCAGCGTTATTTTCCCCCTCATCAGGACCCTAGTAAGACAGGTTTTATGCCAGCAGATCTTTGGACTCAGAGGGCCAAGTGTGGTTTGTGTACTCTTTCACCCCAGATGTAGCAAGAGCCTGAGTCAATACTTCAGCATGGCTAGATTGTATGTACACTCCCACAGGCCTATTGTGGAAATTGCACAATTTTAAAGGGACAAAAACCAATAGAAAATGAAGGAAGCCAGACATTTCTCCAAACTGTAAAGTAAGCTGTTTTGGCAGAGGTGGAGGTCTCCCTTCCCTCTTCACTTTCTAACCTTCCATGTATGTGGGAAATACCCTGTGTGACCATCCACCTACTAACCTCTCTCTCTTTAGTTGTACCATGTAAAGCTTATGCTTAGCTTAACAGCATACAAAATAGTTTTCAGGCAGTCCTGCTTCATTACATTATCTCTACCAACTCAGTTTCTAAAACTTGTGATACCTACAGAATATAGAAAGTGGTGTACTTTCCCCCCATAATAACAAACATGTTTTAAAAACAAAATGTTTGACAGAATTAGCCAAACATCAAAAGTCTGGGTACCGATATGATTGCACCTTCAGCCAAAATCAATTGTATCATACAAATATGATGTAACAGAAACAGGCCTAATGGAGTTGTTCCAAACAGACAGGAACAATGGAAGAGCTTGAGCACCACATATCAAAAATAGCACAACTCTAGTGTCTCCAAGTGGTTATGGGGAAACCAATTTAAAAAAGCACTAGAAGGGAATAGTGTTAAGTAGATGGTATAGATCACCAAATTCAGATCTTAATGCTAAATCAGGAATGCAGATGAAAAGGAAGATATATTTGGGAAAACTCTGCCACTAAAACAACAAGTGAGAACATTTTTTGACAAGAATGACATGGTTTGTCTGTGTAAGATTGTTTTCAATATCTATCAAGAGCATGTACCAGACAAAACAATGTAAAACCACACCTCCAACTACAATTGACTAAAATTATGTTTATGTGGGTGGCACTAAAGTGAATGTAGTTCAACGTCGGTGGGTTGTAATCCAGCAGCTTGTAAAGTGCTGATCTAGTCTTTTCAAACAATCAATACAGAGTGAGGAGAACAGAGGTGAGAGAACCATTACAACCAGAATCATATGGTTTCCAGCCACACAGGTGGAGCCCAAAACAAAGCTCTATGATTTGATCCAGGAAAGCAGTGGAGGAACAGGACAGTTTAAATACGGAGATTCCATGCAAAATGGATGGCAAGATCTTATGAGCAGCATGCACCAGACATTACGAAAACCGAAATAAATGATAACATCGCAATGCAGGCTAAAATACTGAGAGTATCAAGACAGCAAAAGAAAATAAATGAAGAAGTTAAGTGCATCTCAAATAAAGATGGAAATCTTTTAGACGGCTGGAAAATGGGTGATATATTCAATGAATATTTCACTAAGGTGTTTAGGAAGGAAGGAACAGACAGACAACATGCCTCTGGCTGAAAAAAAAGATGCATAGTAAATATTAGCACAGATAAGTTTTACCGGTATTAAAAGTACTTAATGTAAATCTCCAGGGCCTGATGGTATTCTACAAATGTACACTCCAAGAAGGAAGAGATACTACTCATAAGACATTGACACAACTTCCAACGATCACTCAAGAATGGGCAGTACACAGGGACTGGAGATCTGCTAACGTAGGGCCCTTCCATAAAAAGGGTGACAGAAAGGAAGCCAATAATGGGAGACTTCAGCTCAGACTGGAGTGGCGAAACCAGTGGAACACCAGAGGGATCCCCGTTTTCTATACTAACTCTTTCTGAGCTGTGTTCATGGTATCAAAAACAAACTGCCAACATAAAATGGAAAACGCCAAGCTTGAAGAGGCTACGTGTGACGACGACTTGTGTGTTTATGTAGGTACCCAGTCCAATAATCAGAAATCCTCAAGGGCGCAGACAAAGTCAATTCAGTGGATTTATTCATACCTGCAATGAAACACCAGGACAAGTGGAAACAGCATTAGAACTGTGAACAGGGAGGCACACGTATAACATGCACTGCTCCTGCACAAGAAGAAGCATGGCCTTGTGACTAATAGGGCTCCCTACGTGAACCTGAGGAGGACTTTTCCTGAGGAGGCTCATGGGATTTCAGCACTCGGGACCTGGACTGACATTGTTCCATGGCGTTAACAGTAATCCCAAGAGACAAGAGAAAGACACTGCAATGCTGAGCTACACTTTCAGTTGTCATACATGTATTTGACAGACAAACCTTCTTTTAGATCTATAGAAATTCATGTATATATATTAATTCCATATAGACCTATATGATCATTTCTTTTATTTAAATAGCAATTTTCATCCCAAAGAACTTCAAAGCATTTTAAACAAACAAAAAAAAAAAGAGACCCACTTCTGGAAGGAGATAAATGTGTGCTTGTATCTGTATTCACTCATCTACTTTAATATACATTGTTTTAAAGTAGTCTAACCTGTACATCTTTAAACTGGAGAATACTCAGTCTTGAATGACCATTATACTATGACAATGCAAGATGAGAAAGGTTTGCATTAACAATGAAAGCAGACAGTATCCAGGCAAGCATAAAGTGTTACTCTCAAGATAAATACAAGTTCTTTAAATCATACGTGTACGTTTAAAATCTTGTCCCGCATAATAATACAGACAGTAATTTGCATCAGCTAATTTCTCAAAAAGGACAGCAAAGCAAACCGTCTGAAATGGATAGGAGAGAGAAAAAACATCAACTCATAACAAAACAACCCATCACCAGCGAGCCAGGATGTACAAGGACTGTAATGGTGCTGGACAAACGGGTTACTAAACCAGTTATCACAAATCAGAGGGTTATACTAAACACACATTCCCAAAACCCTTACATTATATTCCAACATGAAATGATTCTCTGTAACATAACCTAGGACATAACAGCTGCTTCAAATGCAATAGTCCTCAGCTGAGGTCAAACTTTAAGGTGCTCCTGAATCACAGCCAGATCAAGATGAGTTCATCAGCAGGCATCTAGGTGGAACGAAAATCCAAAAGGCCCAGACCTGAAGCTCTCCAGGAGAGGAGCAACAGCAACACACCCTCCACTAATACCCACAACCACATTCTGCATCCCAGAAAACAAACACCCTAGCAATGGACTCCCAGCCACCACCACCTTCACGTCCGACTCCATTCCTTTGACATAAATGGGGCCAACAGCAAGCTTGAAGGGAAAAGGATCGCGCTGAGAACAGAATTCAGAATTCTCCTGAAGCCCTCAGATGTGCTGTAATGACAGTTTATTCTTACATGCAGAAGGACTGGTAACAACTCCGAGCATGAATTACACAGAAAGTCTTCCAAACGGAGTTTGCAAACCATGCCACTAAAAATCACCCAGGCTTCTTTTAGTAAGAAAATGTGTTGGGTTTTTTTGTCACGAGTCTTTGACATGCTGATCAAAGCCAAAGCACAGCATTCCATGGGACACGTTAGAAAACACACGCTAGAAAAGCTGACTCCTGACCCATGCATCTTGATTACTTTTTGCCATTTCTAAATATATACCTTGTTTTCTTACGCATCGATACTGCTGTGCGGGTAGGTGAATCAAGACGATGCTATTTTAATTAACCCCCGGATATCAATCATTATTTGCTTTGGTGATATGATTATATCTATAGACAGCTAATCTACCTCTCAACAAAGAACTGTGCTTTCACGTTACATTTCAGACCCTTGATTTCAAAATCCTTTCATGGGGAATTTTGATTCAAAATAATTTTTCAAAAACCAGCCCTGGCGTTTTTTTTCCAGGACATTAATTTGATCGATTCATATACATCACACTACTATACATATAGACCTAAGTCTCGATTACAAGCCTACTGCTAAACACTATCCCAGAAGAGAGATTTATTCTGAACTTTTGAAATCACATGCATTCGCATAAATACTTCATACCTCTAAAATCTTCTAATAAAGAATGAAAAAGAGTTGATTCTTGCAGATTTCTAAAACCGTACTGTCTGTGCATTTGCAGCTCAATAGACATTAGAGACACCAGAATTAGAACTTCATCCATAAACCATCTCAAGTATTCATATTGCAAACCTCTTCAACATACAAGGGTTAAGCGTCAAGCAGCAATAAATGTAAACTTCACTGAGTATAGGCTACCAAATTGTAATTTTCTAAATCTTATATAAGTGGCAGTGAAAAATAGAAACATTTAAATACAGTAATATCAAGTCTTTGGTTCCTTCTGACTTTGTACTCAAATATGAACACAATTCAATGAGGTAATAAGGGACTTAAATACCAAATGAAAAAAAGCGTTTTTGCAGAAAAACTGTGTGACCTGTGAAAAAATGTCCCCTAATTGAATTTAATACCTGACTTGAGCCCTGCAGGTAGTACCCTGGTGTTAATAAACAGAGATTGAGGACTCTTATTGCAATGTAAATATTCACTTACTAAACCTGCTCTCTGAATTTGAGCAATTAATCTAATCGCCCTGCAAGGACAAAAAAGCTCAATAGAAACCACATCAATACATCGTAACTAATTCTGTCATCTCTCCCAGTAATGGCATGAAAACAAGTTCCAACCTAACATGGCTCCACCAGTCACAATTGTGGTGCCCACTGAAAGCAGCTCATCAAGTTTCTGCCACGTTCTGCACACTTACCATGTCCCGCTGCGTCACGATATAGCTGTTGCCATCCCTGCCTCTGCACTTCAACAGTACAACAGAATAAAATCCAAACACCTGTGGGGAAGAGAGAGACTTGTTTGACATACGGTAAGACAGCTGTACTACTGTTCGTGTGTATGTGCTAATAGTTTTAACAGTATGCCTTATCAATTAAAAACCCATCTTTGTTTTGTATAGGCTGAAAAACTAGTACATTATTTCAGTTGTGTGGTATTGAAAACGTATTGTACGACTAAAGAGTTTAAGAGATCCGACTGCATTACAGTAAAAAAAAATGTACCTGGAAAGACTGAATTCAAGGCAAGTGTGCCAAGGAGAGATATCTAAATATTATACAGATGTCCAAGGTTTTAAGAGCACTTATTAATTCACTCCATCTTCTTTGAATGTAACATTTCATTAGTTTGAAAAATATTTAAAACAGACCTCAAAAGACACATTCTAAACTGCACAGTTAAACCAATTTTATGAAGTTGCAGACCGTAACTTGGAAACACTGAAAATGATTTCTTCAGCAAGAGAAGTGAACTACACAACACATTACTCTGGTTCTGAATGACAGGGGGGCTGCGTCTTGTACTCTGTACTAGCAAACGGCTCTCACCACAATAAACTAGAAGGGAGAATCACAACTAAGTGAACCATGACAACAGCCAGCATGTCTTAATGTACTCTCACTCCCTGGAGGTCCACTGCATTGTCAGTAATGGAGGAAAGGCACCTTGACCTGCACCGGGTGACATGTCACCATTCTGAGAATGATTTGATGTTCACTGTACAACAGTTGTGGTTTCTTGATTTAGTTTTTAATGTCATTCAGGATCAAGGAACACAAGATCTCAGTAAAGGCAGAAAAACCATGACCTTTCTCAGAACCCTAGCACAGAAGGAGATTCCCTTCAGGAGTGGAAAGGGAATGCAATGTTCAATGCCTGAGTTGTAGAAAGGAGGTGTGACAGTTTGTGATGAGATGCATTAATATATAAGCCAGGGCTATTCAACTTGTGGTCTTTCCAATGTAGTCCATTTCAAGCCCAGTCCAATTACACTACAGCTAGACCACTAGCAACATAACTGCTGGCGAGCAGGACCAGCAAAACAGTTAAGGCTCTAGTTTTATCAAAGTTTCCAATGTCCTAGGTAGGAAATTACCAAGCCTCAAAGACCAGATTCCTGCAGGTTCTACACAAGAGGTCACTAATTATGGACCTGGAGAGCTCCAGTTCAGCAGGTGTAGAAGACAAAGATTTAGACACGAGATCAATTAGAACTTCTCAGACCTATGACCAATTAAACAGCCAAAGTGCTAAATTTAGAGACATGACAAAAATCAGTATGCCCATTCAGCCTTCAAAGATAACAAGCTATCCTTGACTGAGCAATTGCTAGCTTAACTAATCAATAACTTCCAAGTCTTGGCGTTTAAAAGAAAGTTATTGAGAGTGATCTACAAGATTAACTGGATTGAGGATTTCGAGAATCAGCACTCGTGACCCATTTTAAACTAAACTATTCACAATTAAAATGTGATTAAGACTTTCGAACAGCATATGACTTGGATTCTTATCTAAATAATTTGCTTAATTAACCAATTAAAGATCTGGGTTGGAAAGATAACTGGAGAGCCCTGCAGGGTCTAGCTTTTTAAGTTGCTCATTCCAGCTACGTGCATCATGCTACACAGCCTAATCAGATCAGGTGCAATTTTTCAGAAGTGACACAAACTGGTTTATAGTCTTAATGGATGGAAAGTTCCCCTCCTGCACTCAATTTTCTGCATTACTTAGATTCTACTTGGAGCAAATACTGGATATCCATAGTCATAATGTGTCCTAATAGAAGAACTAAGATCTTCTAAGAATCTAGTAGAGTACTTTAAGATGACAATCAAGAAAAATGTTAATACGATCCACAGCATTGGGTAAACATCAGCAATACACCAGGAGGCAGAGTTCATTATGTTTGGTGTAGATTTAAAGCCCAGCAAAATATAGCAGATCGTTCCTCAGAAAAAAAAGAAAAAGAGGGAAATACTATAGGTTTTGGCACCAGTAAAATGAGAATTTGTGCATCATTTTCAGTACTGTTCACAACTGGGGTTCTGAACCAACCCCCTCACTGACAGAAAACCCACAAAGCTACCATTAAGATGCTGACTGGTGCTTTCTGGTTTTGCTTACTGCCTAACAAAGCTCTGAATGCCCACCTGGATAAGAAACAGAGACATACAACACCTACAGAATATATTCACCTCCCCCTTGAACGGCAAAATTTGTGATACAACCAGAATTGATTTTTTTGCCTTGATTCACACAAGATATGCAACAACTTAAAAGGGGTAAAAATATTTTTTTTTAATATTATGAAAAACAGAAATATCTTGTTTATTGAAGTAGTCATCCCTCTGTGTCAGTACTTTGTAGAAGACCCTTTTGCAGTAATTACAGCTATGAGCCTTCTTGAGTATGCCTGGAGCACCTATGGACATCTGCATTTGGTGAACCATGACACTCTTCCTTGTAGAAAGGCTCATGTCAAGTTGGATGGGGAGCATCAGTGAACCACAATCTTCTTGTTCTTCCACAGATTCGCAATGGATTCACGTCAAGGACTTGCCTGTATTTGCCTCCATTCATTGTTCCCTCTTTCCTAATAGGAGCTCCAGTCCCTGCCACTGAACAGCATCCTCATAAAACTATGCTGCTATCCAAGAATGCTTCATGGTAGAGGTGGTGTTACACAAGTGTTCAGTTTAATCAAGAGAATTGTGTTCCTTAATTGTGATCTTAAGGTCATGAAATCAAGACATCTCGAGCTTTCTTTTAAATGAAATATAAAATATTTGTTAACTTAAATTTCACTTTAACATTATGAAGTAAGGTTTGTAGATCAGTGATGAAAAAATCACATTCAAAAGTATTGAGATTTTGAGTTTGCAACGTTAATCGACGAGCATTAAAGGGAGATGAACACCTTCTGAAGGCACTCCAACTGCCCACGTATTGTAGCAGTCTAATCTGGGCACTCTTGGATCCAGATATAAGGGAGGATATTCCAGATCCACAGAGACTGAAGTTTGCTGTGCATTGTTCACGGCACTGCACCAGTCATGTCTTTGCCAATGTCATTTCACGATGTGGAAAAATCCCTACATTTTCCAGTTTGATCTGACTGGATCTCCTAGTTGCAGATTTGAATGAAAACGAGCACTCAAGTTTAGGCCCGGTTTTGGTCAGGTTAACTCCCAGAATATACCACATCACAAGAAAGCCACTGCCTGGGTATAACGCTTGATTTAGGAAAATGTCTTGAGTATGAAAATGCACAAAGAAAAAATATCAATAATTGATACTCAAACTACTATTTTCAGTTAATGACGAAAACTAAAATTCAGATGTTAAAGTCTCTAAGCACAGGTTTAAAAAAATAGTGGAAAAAGATTAGTCACCCTTTTCCTACATTGAATACGTGCATAAGCTGCTATTTATGATTTGCTGCTTCATATTACTGTTCCTTTTGTATGCACCAAATCTAGTAAGACCTGGTGAAGGAGAAAGAAGACCGAGATTGAGGAATCACACAAAAGCCAATCTACCTAATTCACACCTTGAAACCAGGAATGTGAATACTGTATATATATATTGAATCACCTCAATATATATAGATCCTGTTTTTAAATGTTTTTCACAATATGGCATGAAGATCTCCTTTATAAGAGCACAGAAATGAAGCCTTCCCAGCAACCTGTACCACAAATTCATATGACAGTATCGATAGTGCTTTAAAATGCTTTCTATTTTGACCAAAACTACGGTAAAGGTAATTTATACCTTTTAGGAAATGGTATGAAATAAAGGAGATCCACAATCATTCCAAGATTGGTGCAAACTCCATAGTGAATGGCCTTAAAACATGAACAGATGAAGAGACTGCATATATTTCAACATTTTTTAATCTTTCAAGGTTCCTGGTGCAGGGGCTGACCCAATGGGCACAGGGCCAGTCCACCGGAGGGCACAGCTCTGTGGACACACACTCGTACGACACGCTCTAGAGAAGCCACTTAACCAGGGCCGCAAGTCTTAGGACCGCAAAAGAAAACATGCGAATCCGGATTCGGACCCAGGAACCTTCATCTGCGAAGCAGCAGCTCTGCCTGCTATGCCACCCTTGAATGGTATGAATATAAAACATTTCAATACACCTTTGGAACGACCTTTTATGCAGCTACTGTGCTCAACAGTTGGGTATCGGGATCACGGCTTACCTCTGCAAATAGTTTAAAGCACACAGGCTCGACAGCCCACTTCAAGACCCATTCCCCGAGCGTCAGGAAGCCAGAGCACCACCGCAGGAATGAACGGACAATAAGCAGATGGCTTTAAGATCAGCACATTAGCACAATTTGTTTCAAAACGACCTTTAAGCGTGCACAGTAAAGCACCCGACGAGTAATATTCCCCCGTCAGAAAAGGAAGCAGCATCTGCCAAACCTGCTCCAAATGAGAACAGGAGCTGGCAAAGCCTGTGGTTAAAAGCCAACCTCTCTGTGAGACTTGCAGCACATAATCCAGCACTCCCGCTCCATAATAACACCTGGGCTGGGAGCCACAGCCTGAAACTCCCGGCCCCACGGGACACGATCTGAAGGCACAACCTCTCAGGTAGGAAGAGAAGGACAGGGCTCGGGGACAGGTATCTGCTGCGCCCTTGTTCTGCAATCTTCTTATGTTCTTGCACAAGAGAGGAGACCATCAGGCCCATCTAGCCCATTTGGTTATTTGTAAATTGATCTAAGGATCTCATTCCTGCCGTTTCTTGAAAGAAACCCGGGTACTGCCTTCAAGAAGACCGTTCTCCTGTAGCTTGCCTCCACAGTCCCACAGTCATCCATGTTACTGACACCCAGCCTGCACAGCTAACCCAAGGAGGCATGCTTGTTGTCTGTTTTAACACTGAGGGCCCAAACCAGCACAGTTACATTCCTTACGCATGTTAGCAAAGAGGGGAAGCATCGAGTAGACTAATTTTTAATAATAAGAGGAAACTGTGCC